CCAGGAAGAAGGAAAGTTTCCCAAAGGCGCCTGCAGGGAGGGGCAGCCCGGGTGTCCTGGACGGGCTGTGGAGCAGACAATTACCACATGAAAGGAGGCCGCCAGGCGGGCTGCAGCTTGGATACCGGAGGCAGCCGGCGGTGGGAGCCAGAGGCGAGGGCACCACACTGGGCCACATTCTCCACATCTGGGGCGCACGCCACGTGCTCCCACGCCCCGCCCCCGCCCGCCACTCCGCTCAGGCCTCGGGGACACTCCTGCTGCAGGCAGCGGCCAGTGCTGGCCGGCCGCGGTGGAGGGAGGTCGGAGCTCAGGTCTGAGCCTGCAGCCTGCCCAGCTCATCCCTTCCGCTTCTGCAGCTGCTTCCACGGACATCACGAGACCTGCGCGCTGCACGTCCTCCCCCAAGCTCTGCCCTGGCCTTTTGGTCTTTCTGGCTTCCGAACGTCCTCTCCCTGCTCCCGGTTCAGATTTCTCCCTGCTCCCGGTTCAGATTTCTGTCCTGCTGCGTCGGTCACTCCTACTCTTTCCCACAGAGCTTATGGATGGCTCCTCCAGGCCTCGGGCTTTCCCTTGGGATGGGGGATCTTCAGACAGAAGATGGCCACTTTTGTATGAGCGGCTCGGCCGTCGGGTTTGCGCTGTGGCAGAGGCTCTGGGCACAGCAGCCTCCCTCGGGAGCAGGCGGAGACTCCGACCCCACTGAGCGGCTGCCTAGTATTCTCGGAGCCCTCCCTGCTCTGTGACTCTGCTGTTCTGGAAGAGAAGAATGGAACCTTCTTGCCTCCCAGACAGAGGCTGTCCCTGGCTCAGAACCGACACAGCGGAGAGCCGAGGCGGCCATGGGAACCGCTCTACTTGCCCTGCTGAGGGCGTCTCAGTGGGACAAGGGCCGCCGTGGACCCCGGCCAGGGCGGGCTGCCCAGTGGGGTAGGGGACAGCCAAGGGCAGCAAGGGGGTGAAAAGGGACCAGTGTTTCCCTGGCTTGTGGGGAGGCAGCTGTCGCCAGGCTTACAAAAGACTGTGAAGAAATCCGTGCACTTCCAAGTGGAGAAAGGAAAGACACTTGGCAGCCTGGCAGGACTTTCTTCTTTCTGGTGGCTGGGTCGGGGCAGGGAGCGAGACGGCGGCAGAGCCGGGTCCCAGGCAGCTGTGCCACGTTCTTTGTTACTCGGAGCGGCAGAGTCTCCAGTGCCCACTCGGACTCACAGGTCCGGAAAGCTCAGACTCACGAAAGCAGCCAGCGAGCTGGGAAAGGAAGCCGCAGGGCGTGCAGGTAGGGCCGGCAACAGCCCAGACCTGTATTTCAGCAACTTCTCAGCACCCCCAGCATCCTGAGACCAGACTGGGGACATCACCAGGGAGCTACATGCAAATAGGATTCTTCCTGACTAGCTTCTGGCAGTTGCCCTAGTCTGGGGGTGGGCTGGAGTGGAGAGTTGGTGAAGGAAGGGAAACCAACGTTAAGGATGGCAGAGTCTAGAGCAAAGCCTGTGTTCACTGCACTGATTGCCTGGAAATACGAACACGGTGACTTCAGGGCTGATCCATCACCCTCTGGGTTTGGGGCTCGCTCCAGAAGAGAGTGAACGTGCAGTAGCCTCTGCTTCCCGAATCCGCCTTCCAAGGGTACAGAAATGAACCTCTTCGTCGAGGAGAAGGCTCCCTCAGAACTGGGGAGGGGGGCATCCCTTGTACCGGAAACAGGAACAATTCACAGCACAATCAAGACTTCAAAGGAAATTTATTTTTTTGAAAGGGCCGAGGGGGACTTTACAAGAGTCTGAAGCCAGTAACTAGAGAGGAAGATAAATAAAATACAAAGCCAGTATGTTGTGGCAAAATTCCAGGAAACACACTGAAAAAAAAAACCTTTACAGTTTAAAACTGCTTCACTTTGTACATAATTACAAATTAATATACAGCATCTGGGTTTTAACCCTTTTTATTTAACAGGATTTAGCACAGATTACGTTCTTACAGCATTTGGAAACCACCAATGAGAGCAGAGGTGTGAGGTGTATCTTCAGAGCCCTCCCGCAGGTCCTCCGTCTCCGCGGCGCAGCCCACGCGGGTGAGCCACACACAGGAAACCACGAAGCTGAACCTGAACCACAGGCAAACTGGGCACGTCCCATGTCAGTGCTCTGGGACCGTCCGTCCCGTCAGGTGGTGATGCAAGGCAGGGGACAGTTCATGCGGGGATGGTCTGGGGTGAATGGGTTGTGCGTCTTGCAGAAGCCCCTCCAGTCTGCGGCACCGGCAGGACCCGCCTGGTTCTGGGGAAGGTCACTTAGCAGTGGGGGTTGCCCACCTTTAAACCTTAGTGAGATGGAGAAATAATTCATGGCCTGTCAATTTTTGACAACTAAATTAGATGAGTATGTGGTAAGACGCCTTTACTTTCCCTTCCTTTTTTAATTCCTTTTATGGCAGCATTAAAATACTTTTCGTTTCAAAACCTGGCCAGCAGGCAGTGGATTCCAAGGCTCTGGTTAAGGAGGAATGTCATGCTACACTGAAAGAAAAATTAAGAACCAAACCCAAACAAACTCTTTGCCTTCCTTTGTTTCTGAGGATGGACAGGAGCAATGGGGCTGGCCGGGGCACACCGAGACGGTCCTGAAGGCGGGCAAGGCACGTGTATCTCCTGCAACCGTTGCCACCATTTCATCCAAAGGGTTATTTCAAGGTTTGCACGTTTCCAGGGCATCCAAGCATGGAGGGTGGACACCCTTCTGCAGTGTCTGGAGTCACCTCGGAGCCACTTTCTTTCTGGCCACTGCAGCCCACTCACCAGGGCCGTCTTTCTAAATCAACCCCCTCCTAGGGCCTGGCTGTCCTCTCGGCACAAGTGGCCACCCATCACTAAACTTCAGCCCCAATGCAAATACCAAAATCCTTGGGAAGAAAGAACTGGCAATGGAAAAAGAGCCTTAGAGACAAAAGAATGAAATAAAAGTACTTTTCTGGATGGCAATTTCTGGATCATGTTCTGTCCTATAAGGTTCCACCCTTTATTTAAGGCAGGGCGTATTGAATTAAACCCTCGCACACTAACACTTCCCCCCCCAGTAAAGGCCAAACAAACCCCAATGGTCTCAAAACTTCGTGCTTACTGATATTGAGGCCTTGGGAAGGTAACAAGCAAGGGAGAAAATCAGCAAAGGGATGACTCTGAGTGGTATTACCCTGAGACATATAAGGGGAGAAAAAGGTAAGATTCGTACCTTTTCAAAAAAAAAAAAAAAAAAAAAAACAACAACAACAAAAAAAAACTGGCTAAGGATTTCTTCCCCACAAGATTGCTCTCATGGGATGGAGAGAATATTGCCAAAGGCTGAATATGGCAATTTGCATGTTTTAACCCTCTTCCTTTTCTAAGAAGAAAATACATTTTGTCTCAAAAATGAAGCCAACCGAGGAGAGCATTTAAAGTGCATGTCACCCAATTGAGATGGCAACCACTGAGATGATTATACTCAAGACAAGATGCAGTATCCTTCCAGGACGTGCACGAGATTCTGGACATCGGGGGACTCCGGGTAACATCTCCATCTGTCCCCCAAAACTTAAGCACAATTTCAGGCACCTGATTTCTTTAGCTTGGTGGAGAAGCACGGCTTCCTCACGTGGGAACAGTGATGGGGAATTCAATCTGAGTCACTGAGAAACAACCCCTTCTCACAGGAAAGAAAACCAGACTGGGCCTTAGACTCTGTAACTAGAGCAGCTCTCAAGGTCGTAAGCAAGAGCACAAGCAGCCACAACCCAGGTAACTGCCCAAGCACAATAATAAATCCCTTCGAGGTCAATTTCAAAGGCGGGAAGATGGCACAGGTATGTAAAAGCACAGTTCTTGGTAAGTGGTTCTTTCTGCACCGCAGACTATCCTCCCGGATGAAGCTCGGGGGATTCAGGGCACTCTTCTGATTCTGATTCTGATTCTCAACGTGTCCAACCAGAACCCGACCAAATCGTTTTAAGGCAATGGAGTGTGGGCAAAGGTGAAATTTCCATTTTTAAAAAAGACCACCCAAACAACCAAAGGTAAACATCGCAGCTAGTTGGGAGTAAAAGACACTTTAACATCAAGCTGTGTAGCGATGTATGTAAGTTACAGCGTCCACAGTGCTTTTGTGAAGAGTGCATGCGAGAATATCTCATCAGCACTGACCCCTCATTTCAAACCCCGAGAACAGGGTCACCCGGCCTACATGTACACAGTGAAGAAAACACACAACTTTTTTATTTTTTAGACAGGGTCTTGCTCTATCACCCAGGCTAGAGTGCCGTGGTGTCACCATAGCTCACTGCAACTTCAAACTCTCGGGCTCAAGCGATCCTCCCGCTTCAGCCTCCCAAAGTGCTCGGATTACAGGTGTGAACCATCACGCTTGGCCTGCATAGCTTCCTTCAATATTGCCCTCCTGTGAACCCCAGGTGGGTAACTCAGAGCCAGTGACAAGGACAGCTGAGCCTTGGGGTGGATCTGAGGAAAGTCATGAAAGGCTTAAACCTGGATTTGTATGGATTGGTGAAAAACCGCAACTTAACTTTTTGCTGTTTAGGGTCTTTGGGGCAGGGGGGTACATCATGGTTTCAATAGAAGAATCAGCTGGTTTTGGTCTTAAAGTCTATTTCTGAAGGGCAGCAATTCTACATGACAAAAACAGGTAAAGGTAGCTCATAGGTGGCAATTTCTTAATTCTCAAATGAGGGAGAAAGACGTCCCTTGATAAAAGAATGAGGTGGGGTGGGGAAAAGGAAGGACATGGACCTCTTCTCCCACCCTTAAATTTCGTCTGGGCTTTCCAGGCACGGAAGGACACCGGCGAGCGGCAGCGCCGACTGCCACTGCACTCTCGGCACTGATCGGTTTCAACTGCTGGGCTAGTATTGGTTCAGCCTTAAAAACAAAACAAAACACAAACACACACACACAATAAATAAAACAAATCTAGGCTAGAAATTTTAAACCAGACCTCTTTCAAATAAACTGAAAGATAAATATCTCCATCTGCAAGGCCAGCTTGCAATTCATCAACAAGCACCAGGTTACAGATTTTTTTGTTTTTTTAAAAGTATGTTCCAAGCCCCATGCTTCTGAGGGGCAAAAAGCAGGAATCGAAGGCCACATGTGAAGCACAGAACTTCCCAGGGTCTCCCTTCATGGTACAGGGGCCTCAGAGGGAAACGCTACCAAAGAACCGTCCTGCACATACCAGCTGCCGAGAAGCCTCAGCCAGACGCAGACCGGGACACAGTGGGGAAAGAAAACGAGAGCAGCAAAGCAGCAGCAGGCGGCAACCGTGACATTGTTCAGGGGCTCTGTACAATTGACCAACAGACCTTTAGATTTAAAACAATTTTTTAAGAAACCAAATTTTGCCAAGGCCTTCTGACATCTTTTGGGCCAGCTCCTCTTGGTCTGTACTGGCAGGAACTGCTACACATGGGCTCAACCCCTTCACCTGAACCTACTTCTCAGCCAGTTGTCCTGGCACAGGGCAGGGACGACCCTGCTGGGGCCCTCAGAGCACAGCTCCTGCCCAGCCCTGGTGGGGCTGGCAGGCCAGGCTGGGCTGCAGGAGGAGCAGATGGCCCCTCGCGGTGTGTGCCGCCGGGGTGCACTCCCTGGGGCAGCCGCTGCGAGGGCTCACACCATTGCCAGGAGGCCCTGGCCACTACTGAATGGTCAGTGACAACCAAAAAGTGTCACACTGCAGGGAGGATGGTAAGGAGGCCTCTCTACTTCACGTGTGCCCAGAACATGTGGGCAAACATCTTGGAAAGCCAGCATATTTCTTCTGGATTTGATGAGAAAATGAGATACTTTTTTTAGTGCCTGAAATAGTGAGATCGAGGTGGTGCAGACCCACGTTGTTATACACATCACGCGTTCTCTCAATGGTGTCACAAATGTCTGTCATCCCTTCTAAAATGAAATGAGAAATACATGCAAAAAAGGGGGTGGTGTGTGCACAGGGTGGGCTTGAAGGGAACCCAATCTCTGAGGACTGCCGGGTGAAGTACTGAGCGTCCAGGGGCTACTGGTTAGTCCGGGCATTCCCTCTCGTGCTGAGCTAAGCTGACCAGACGTCTTGTGCAGGCTGTGCGCACTTCTGGCGTACCCCATGTGTACATGCAGGCCACTGTATATGTACACAGATAAAGTCCAAACTATCTGCTGTCTGGTTTTGGTTCTGTTCCCCAAAATAAAAGGCAGTTAGAATTTCAGACCTCATTTGGAAACACTCTTTCAGATTTTAAGAATTCCCAACATGTCCAAAACCATTGCCTGTACTTCTGGGCCACTACTTTCAGTGTAACACCTTGAGCAGGGCCAGCCCCAACCCACAAGTCCTTGGCAGCCACAGGCCATGGCCGAAGCAGAGTCTGGGCTTCCCTCCCCACCCTGACACTCAACACAATCTGTTCCTTTTGTCCAGAACCCAGGGCCACCCAGGAGGACTGGACGCTGAGGAGCAGTGGGTGTCCAGTGTAGGAGACTTGTGCACGCAGGGACAGCAAGGAGATGGGCTGGGAACCCCAGGCCAGGACCAGGAAGCGGCTGCCTCCGCAGAGAGGAGAAAGGTCAACAGAAAATCTCTTCACCTTCGGCTGATACTTCCGCAGGACCATCTGCAAAAGCAAAAACCAAAAACAAAAAGAAATTCGGAAAAAAATGTTCTTTTCACTTAACTTCCTCCCCAACCAAAAGTCTTCTGTGATACAAACAGGTGACTGGGCCTTATGGGCAAGTAACTTTCTGCACATGGGGCTTTCCAAACTGATCTAGCGAGTGAGGTCCTCAGCGATATTTTCCACTATCTAACGCTCTTTTTAACTTTCACAATACACACCAGAATTTGTATTTCTAACTAAGCCTGGAAAACATAAATTTCTCTTTACCCTTCCACACAGAAGGAAGAGATTAATGGATCCTAAGGAGCAGGAATAGAGGAGGACGCGGGGCAAAGTGGCACACAATCGCGGAGGCATTCAGCGTAGCTTAACCCCAGGCTCTGTGACCATGGGCGCGCTGGGTAACCTCTGGCTTTCAGGTTCCTCACTTCCCCTGGGGTTAACAGCATCTGTATCATATAGTCGTTTTAGGATTAAATCACCAAACGCGAGCTATTGTTATTACTGGACTAGGCTTAGAAAGGCAGGGAGGACTTGAATTACTTCATTTAGGTGAGTTCCAGTTCCTCGATTGGCCAATGCGTCAAACACACGTCCTCTCCTTTGCACACGTGTGCCAGAGCGGTTCTTAAATGCTCGCCGCACAAGCGCTCTTATTCGCAGTGGGTTTGGTGAGAAGGATGACAGTTTGGCTTTCACACGTCTGAACTGCACCCGTTTTAAACCGCCCGTGCCACTAACATCTCCCCTCTCCCCAGAGCGCACAGACGCTGTGGCCACACGGAGACTGGGCGTGGGGACTCACCACCGGGCTGAGAGCGGCTTGTTTTGCTCTTCTTCTTCTTCTCCTTCTTTTCCTTTGGCTTGGCTAACCCAAACAGGCGGGTGGAGGCAGAGGTGGGCGCTGGGGCCTGGCTCTGCCCCTCGGGCACTTTGTTTGTCTGGCTGGTTGAACTCAGTATGTGAAAAGGCCCCTTATCTTTATGTGTCCGAGAGATGCTGTTCCTTTTTGGGGACACTGAGAGTTCTGAGTCCAATGACGCTGATTTGGCTATCGAAGGTGCAGATGGCAAGAAGGACTCCTCAGGACTCGGCAAAAAGGATGGGATCCTCATCACCTTGCTATGTTGATGTGAAACCTGCACACACACAAGAGAAGAGGTTTGACGCAGAGGCCGTCAGCACCCTGATGCCCACTCCACGCATACTGGCTGCACTCAACCGGTGTGCCGGCTGGCGCTTGTCCGCTTCTGTGCACCCCACAGAACTGTAAAAAGGTTCAGAACTTCTCGATTTCATTCACCGCCCTCCCCCAAGTACTGCTACATGTAAACATGTTAAAAGCATCACCTCTGATACCATTAATATTTTTATTACATATACTAACTCCAGCATCATAAGAATTAATAGTGCCTTTGACAGGACAGCTTAGAAAAGAACTCCCATTCCTTGAAGAAACAAGGAGAGCTGCTTATTTTAAGACTGATTATACAGGGATGTAGATAATTATTTCTGGGCAAAAAGATTACAGAAGCCTTGGGTTCTTTTCAGGTTGGAGGGTAAGCGGAAGAGCTGGCTGACACCGAGATCCTGGTCACAGGATCCACAGATAAAGAGGATGAGCTCGTCTGTGCTCTCAGCTGCCTGGGATCCTTCCTTTGTCAAAGCCCTGATTTTACTGGGGTAGGGGTGGAATCCATCCTTATGTCATAAAAAGCAACAGAGAGCATTTGTTGCTCCCATCATATATTCGAAAACCTGTGCAGAAAGTTAAAACTGCTCCCCACTCTGGAAGATGTCAGTCTAATTTTCCTTCGTGGTCCAAGGGCAATCAATCAAACGGCGACACGACACGCATTTCAGAAGACAGGCAGATCTGTGCACACCCAGGCTCTCCATCTGCCACAGTGTCCGTGTTCCGGAATAAGCACGGAAACCACTGAAATAAACTCGCAGTCAGTGTGCTGAATAACAAGCCTCCCCATACAGGCAGCAGCTACAGGGAAAGAAAGGTTTCATCCACGGTCGCAAGGTAAGTCAGGAACTGTGCCGAGTCCGGCTGTCTGAACATCCCCGAGCAGGAACGTCACCTGTCCACAGGAGTGGCCATGTGCTGGGCTGGGCTGACCGCACTGGTCCTCCACACAGGTTCTTCTAGCGACTGGCATCAGAGCCATTTCCTGCTGTCTTGCGACCGCAGGCGCATGTTCTAGGGGCTCCTTTATCCTTGGTGTGTTTCCGCACCAGGCTGCAAGTTCCTTTAGGTGGAGGCCATGGCTGATTTCTCGCGTGGAGTAGAGCGATGGGGCTGCTCCTGGACACACTGAGGCTCCTCTGGCCTTCGCTGACGGCGGCTGAGGGAAGTGCCAGTCAACTCCAAGGTCCACTTACTGCCCTGGCCCAAACCCCCCAGCATGTCCGTTCTCTTCACCCTCTCAGAGATGCAAAGAGTAGAAAAAGACTCGCTTTCTTCCCCTGCCCACCCCACTTCAGAGCAAAACAAAGATTTTGCAAAAACAGGCTTTGTATCTCTGCTCACTTTCTCATGGTGCTCAGGGTCTTCAGGTGGCCATCACAGTGACAGGTAAAGCAGACCCTCCCTCCCATCTCCTGGCTCTCAGGGAGCCCCTGTTACCTGGCACAGGTCCCGCTCTGTCTGCCTCTGGCTGAGCCGCTCTGCTGCGTCTCGTCGCAGCTGCTCCTGCTCCCTCTCGAGCTGTTTCTGGGCGGCGCGCAGCCTCTCCAGGTCATACTGGTACGTGCCCTTCTTCTGCTGGAGCTCCTCCCGGTCCTTCTCCAGGTCCTGCTGCCCCTGCTGCACCTTCTCCTCGCGCTGGGCCAGCCGGGCCTCGCGCTCCTGCAGCTCCCTCTCCCGGGCCTCCCACTCGCGCTCGCGCCTGCGCTTCTCCTCCAGGTGCTGCGCCTGCTGCTTCTGCAGGTTGGCCAGGTCCTGGCGCTGCTTCTCCAGGCTGCGCTGCTTCTCCTGCTCGATGAGGGAGCTCGGGCGCGACAAGCTCCGGGCGAGTGCCCTCTCGCTCAGCAGCAGCTTCTGGTCCTCAATGTAGCTGTCCTGCTGCAGCACCACACCCTGAGAAGGCACACAGGGGAAGGGGAGCCGTGAGACTCTGGCCAGGAGGATAGCCAACTTCGGGGACCCCTCCGGACCCCAAACCAGGTTTGGGGGACCAGGCATCATGATGGACTATGACTCTCCCCTTAATTTTTCAAGCTGGTCTGATACAAATGCTCCAGGATAACTGTGGGCAGTTATCAAACAGGAACCTCAGAAGTGCAGGAGCGCAGTTTTTTGTCAAACCTGGTCACACGCTGGTCATTGGCATTACCTGGGGTGGAGGCACATGCGTGTATTTTGGAGGTGGGGAGAGGTAGGAATGAGATAGTTTAGGTCTTCAAGAAAGGAAGTGAGCAGAATTTGAGGATGTTTCCAGGAAGTACTAAACAATAGTTGTTCTGGGAGGGCCCCTCTATCTAAATACCACATAGAGATATGGAATTTGGAAACTTGTAATCATACTAAAGACTTTCTAGAGTGAAATGGTCTCCCAAATGCATGTGAGCACTCTATGTGCTTTGTGGAATGGTTGTCAAGTAGTACCTACAGTCTACCAAGCGCTGTTCACCAATTCTCGTCTTGTAAGGTTGACGGTACTCTAACCACTGCATTCTGTAACTTTTCTCACCACGAGAGTTAGTCTTCTCTAGACTGAGGGCTCCATTTACCCACAAGCAACTTACAAAACTCAAAGATCCAAGTCAACAATGGTCTCTTTACTGTTGTCCTCTAAACAAACAGGCGCACAGATAAAAGATGAAGTCATGTACCTGCAGAGTGCTAAGGAGTTCATGGAGATGGACGATGCTCTGGACAACTTGCTGCAAAAGGAACAAAGTAGGAACATTCATTTCAGGACTTTATGAATCTCAGCATCCATCACACTGCATGGTTATCTGACAAGGTTAGCTTCCTTAAAATACAACAAGGTGCTTGTATTTTAATGAATTATTTTCAAATTGAAAGCCCCAAAGAGAACAAGTGGGTATAGGCAGCCAAGAAAAACAAAAGACCAAACAAACAAAACAACTGTGTGCTGAGGAGGGATATCGGCACACACTGAAATGTATTATAAAGCTTCCATTATTTAGAGTGACTAGCACACAAATGGCATACATACAGTGTAACACAACAGAAAGTGTAGAAACCATCCATCACAGTGTGTAAGTAGCATGTTGAATCAAAGAGGAAGGAAAAGATATTCAGTTAATTGCTCTGAGAAAACTGGCTACATTTCTAGAAAAAATGAAGTTGGGACATTGGCTTACATAAAAAAAAAAGTTCCAATAGATGAAAATATTAAGGGTAAAACATAAACCATAAAAGGGCTAGAAGAAAATGTAAGAGAATGTTTTCGGATCTTGAAACAGGGAAGATTTTTCAAACATAGAAGCGATGGGAGAAACCACACAATTTTTTTTTCAAAATGTAAAATTAAAAGGCAAAGGACAAATGTGAACAGAAAGTCAAATGAAAAAATCTTTTATTTGAAAAAGGTTCTCAGAGATCAATATGGGGGGAAAAAAATACCCTAGGAGAAAAATAGGCCAGGAATACAAACCAGCCATTTACAAAAGAAGAAATACAAATGGCCAGTTACATATTAAAATGGTTCAATCTTATTTTAAATCAAATAAATGCAAAATAAAAATAAAGAAATGCCACTTAAACTTATCAGACTAATCAAACGTCAATAAAAAAACAGTACTCAATGTTGGTGAAAGAAAGATGAACACGGCTACTCTTCTATCTGAGGGGTCAGGGCAAACGTTGCGTAACTTCCTTTCTGACCCAATTTGGCATGTTAAGGAAACAATCAAAGAGCTGTGCAAAAAATGTATGTACAAGGATACTCTTGGCTGTATTATTTAAAAATCAAAAAGTAGAAAAAGAATTAACTACCAGAAAGATTAAATAGATCATGGTACACAATATAACAGCACGGAGCTGTTCAATAGCATGCTTTTGATACAAATATGCCTTGGGGAAATGCTCTTCGTGTGTGTTAAGAGGAGAAAGCAGGATATGAAGCTCCAGGAAGTATCAATACCAATTGTGTAAAACTATTTTTATACTGTTCACACACATGCAACTCAGACATATAAATATACATTATGTAGAAGAAAAAGCTAAAAATATAAACATTTAACAGTAGGTATTTCTCAGTGGTGGAATTACATTTATTAGCAAGAAACTTATGTTGCTTTTCTACCATGGACATGCATTCCTTTTATAACACTTAAATCACTTAAAAACAACACGCAAAAACTTAATTACCAGGCTTAGCGCTTCTGAGAATACTTTTTACCCCTTAAGTTTATTCTTAATAAACAGACAGAGGAAGTCACAGAAGACCTGCTGCCTCTAGCAGAGCATCGATAGTGTGTAATCCATACTGGAATGCCTAAAGAACAAACTGGTCTCGAACTATTTCTTACCCTGAATCTTTTCACTAAATATGGGGGAAAATGGTGCCAAATGGAAAAATCAACTGACAGCTAATTTTCAAGTGGCAGATGCAGAGAGCAAGCAGCCTGTGCAAGCCCAGGTCTGTGTCATTCAAAGACGAGCACACCGAAGGGGATTCCTTCAGGACACCACTGTACTCAGACGTCGACACCAACAAATATAAAACAATATCCCGCTTTGTTTTAGGGGGAAAAAGGAAAGAGTCCTCTTCCTTTAAAATTTCAAAACAAAGCTTCTTGGAGATTTAAGATAAATTATGTTAAAAGCAAGAAAAAGCAGCAGCACAAAGAACATCCTTGAGAAGTCTACCCTAACAAGCAACTATCATGTATCTGATTCTAGTCTGCTTACACGCAAAGCCAAACGCTCAGAACTCATTTTGGAGATGGCAGTAACCCTGAAGATTGTTTCTGAAGAAGGACCTGAGGAAGGGATGAGTGAAAGTGGTGTGGTTACGCTGCAGGGCGAGCGGGACTCAGCTGGAGGAAGGGGACACACACCTGCATCAGAATCTGATTTCCACCTGGAAGGATACCAAGGCTACCTCATAGTTGAAACACATTTCAAGTCAAAGGCAATACTCAAAGAAAACTCAGCTTGAGTACTTCAAGGATGAGAAATTACTACGTAGAATTACCCACAAAATTAAATGCCCATGTTCCAGACCTGTGACTTTGGGCATTAGGTTTGTGTTACAGAAAAGCTGCTATAAATTCTACCCAGTGTGCTGAGACTGAAGGAAACCACCAAGGGGGCTTCACAGCCCATGTTTAGAAAAAGCTGATTAAAAGCAAGAGGCTTCTTAAGGACAGAGTGTCAGAGGCCACCTTAGTAGGCAATTCTCTAACTGGCAAAATTCCAAGATGGTACCTTGGGGGCAAAGAAATGAAAAAGGTAAAAGAAACTGACAACTGTATTGCTTATGTGTACAGATTACAGTCAGGAGTTGGCTTATTTGTAAGAGCAAAACAAAAATGAATATTCCTAACCTAATTATAAGAAATGTAATACATATTCTTTTGAATAGCTCATAATGTCCTTACCTCACTGTTTCTTTTAAGCATAAATACCAGGTTAGCATTTCCACCCTATAAAAAAAACATACATTTAAGAAATGAAGACCCTGATGCAAAAATTATACTCAGTGTGTTTCTAAGTTATGCTGTAGCTTCTCATTTTCTTTTTTTCCTACCACAGTCTCTCATGGCAAGGTAGTAAAGATCTAAGGTTGAACTATTTATTACTGAAGCCCTGTAAAGAGATCAGGTTGGTTTGAAGCATCTGAAACAAAACTCTTAATGAAACTGGTCCTGCCAGGGCCATGGCAGAGTTATGAATATAAACATATTGCTCTAAGCCAGCGAGGCCAAACAGCCAATAGTAATGTGGTTTAATTATACTGTTTGTTTTAAAAAATGTGCTTTCCCCTTTATGAAAACAAAGTAAGATTTTATTAAAAGCAGGAAGGCAGGCATCCAAAACAAGATCAAAGTGGAATAATTTCAATTGTTATGAATTCAGAAGGAACTGCCAAGGAGGTTCGTACACAGTGTATTTTAGGGAGAAATACCTTTTTCAGACCACTATCCGATTCTGTTCTCCTAAGATCTTGGCCATCATCTCCCTCTTCCTTCTCGCCTCCTAAACAAAAAACCAAATAGGTATTTTTTAAAAAGCTGTGAAAATGGCTAGCCAAGAAAAGAATACAACATAGACAGCTTGGGCGATGTGATATTTCTGAATCTTATTAATGCCCCCAAAAGAGGAAAGCCACTTGGTGGCAGTTAAATGATCATTAATAATTTCACTGATACAAAAGAACTAGAAGCAGGAAGGAGAAACAAACATTATTATTCCTTTCACTATAGCTTAGCTGAGATCCCAGAACCTCTGTTTTGTTACTCAAAATGAACATGGGTCTGATAGAGGTTCTAAGAGTGTTTTAGGATCTCATTAAAACATTTCCTGACTGAATGGGTCAGAGAAGATGGAGCTATTAGAATACAAGTCATTTTTAGTTGTATAGGACAGTCAGGCATTGCCTATAAGAGCACATGAGTTCAAATCACTCACCTTTTGAAGCATTCATCTGATGGCTGTCAAACCCTCCAAAGGTCTCTGCTCTCCGGGGCAGGGAAACAGGGCCAACCATGCTCTCCTGCTCAACGGGGCTGCTGACAGCCTGCCCGAGTGTGCCTCCTAGGTTCCCACTCACCAAACTCTGAAGGATCTCCACTGGAAAAAAGGAAACATGAAAAACTGACATCTTGTCTTCCAAGAAGGAAAAAAAATTCATGGTATACATGAGATGTACAGGGACCATGATTAGAAGGTTCCAAAGGGTGACTGGGTGATTCTCCTTGCTTGGAGAAGGGTGTCAGCCCAGGGTGTGTGGGATTCTACTAAAAATTGAGAGGTGAAACCTTCAACCTTATATACGTGAGGCCTAGGACATTTGAAAGTGTACAGAGAAGGCAGAGTAATTTGCTGGGAGGAGCGTGGCTTCTGAAATCAGACCCAAGGCAGCCAAAAGACATTCCCTGGAAAGTAAGGTAGGACGATCTGAGAACTGCAAGTGAAACAAAATACCATTTCAGGACTCAGAAGCCAAACAAAGACGTGTTCACTGGCAAATATAGAGCATTTTGAGCTTTTAATAAACAACTGCAATGACGTGAAACCCATCGAACATGTTTAAATTCATGAGTCTATAATAATATATATTAAAAAAAAAACACCTTCAGAAGATGGCCATAAACCAATTCACATTTTGAAAATTGGCAAAGAAAGGGAAGGGGACACATCAAGTATCTATCCTTTTATCCTGCTTTTCCTACATGTCACAAAAAGGAGACCAGGTATTTTCTGTTTCCCCATGAAAGAACACAATGCCATAGGAACACGACTTGCCAAAGAGATTAGATCTGAGTAATTAAGCCTCTGAATCCAACTGCACATTTGAAGGAAACGGGACAGAACTGCTATATGAATAAAACCTAAACTGTGAGAAAATCTATCAGTCAAAAAGCTTGGATTATTCAAAGAAAAACTGTGTAGAAGAAAAGGAGATGGTGAGGAGAACTGTAAATTAAGAATCTTAAAATGCATATCGAAACGTGAACAAGACTGAACTACAGCGTCTAGGAACAGGCGCCCGGGCCATAAGCCTACGAAGAAACACGAGTGATTGCTAATACCGGTCAGGATATCTGCTCCTTTCGGGAGGAGGGAGGTGTGATGGGGATGGGGCTTGTGCAGAGGCTTTTACGGTGTCTGGCCATATTTAATTTCCCGACCTGGGTAGTGGTTATAGGGATGTTCACCTGAAAATAATTTACTACAGTGAAATATTTGTTTTGGGTAATTTTCTGTTTTTGTGCTTCATTTTACAGTAAAAACCTAAAAACTGGTAGATAATGCCAGTGTGTAAACCACTCTGGGAGATGAAGGAAGAAGCAATGCTGAATTGTAAATTACCCTCATTTATTGCACTTTTCATCAAAGGTCCTCCTTTGAGAGCCTCTTCTGTGTTGGAGCGGAAGAGGACTCTAGGGCTCTGGGTTGGGGAGTAATCCTCTGGCAAGGGAGTGCTGCACTCGGCCATGTCCCGGAAAATCGTCTCCTTCTCTTCCAGTAAGAGGAGGATCTGTTGGTCCTTCTGCTGAAGTTGTTCTGCAGGGTGGATGGAGAAAACGGTCTGGGATTTGATTGGTGTTTATTATGAGATGACTAGGACATGAGCACCACCTTGTGGTAACTTATGGAAAGGAACAAAACAGAACTATCACCACCCACACCCCTCCTAGAGTGCTAGGATTACAGGCATGAGCCACCACGCCCGGCCCCAACTTCTTTTGTATCACAAAGACAGTATGAAGTTTGTGTTCTGCAATTTTTTTCTTTACTTTTCCTTTTTTTTTTTGAGACAGAATCTCACTCTGTTGCCCAGGCTAGAGTGCAGAGGTGCAATCATAGCTCACTGCAGCCTCAACCTCCTGGGCTCAAGCGGTCTTCCTGCCTCAGTCTCCCTACCTGGGACTACAGGTGCATGCCACCACACCCCGTTAATTTTTGTATATTTTGTAGAGGCAGGGTCTTGCTATGTTGCCCAGTCTGGTCTTGAACTCCTGGGCTCAAGTGATCCTCCTGCCTCAGCCTCCCAAAGTGCTGGGATTACAGGTGTGAGCCACCGTGCCCAGCCTGTTGTGTAATTTCTACTTGGAAAACCAACCTGGGTCTTTTTGGCAAACACTGCAAATTCTGTCATAACAAGTCTGCACTCTGCTTCACTCCCCTCCCCTTTGTTTATTTCTCAACCCACTGCTCTCTGGCTTCTGCCCTATCATTCTGCAACTGCTCTTTCCAAGGTTACCCTCATGACTGAATCCAATGAGGTCTCTGAGTTCGTCTTTTCCAGCATTTATGATTCTTCCTTCCTTCCAAAACTATTTCCTTCCTTCACTTTCAGGATATTGGTTCTTTTCCTAACATTCTTTCTTTCTAATTTTTTTTTCTTTTTGAGACAGAGTCTTGCTCTGTTGCCCCAACTAGAGTGCAGTGGAGTCATCACAGCTCACTGCAACCTCAAACTCCTGGGCTCAAGTGATCCTCCTGCCTCAGCCTCCTGAGTAGCTGGGATTATAGGCACACACCGCCACGCCCAGCTAATTTTTCTCTTGTTCGTTTTTTTCTTTTAGTAGAGACGGAATCTCATTCTTGCTCAAGCTGGTCTTGAACTCCTCAGGGCACTTTATAGATCTGCCATCCGCAGTGGGATATCTTATCTGGGTTCCTCCCTCAGCTCCACACTGAGCTGCCTTCTACATCTTCTACACTTTCCTCTTGGGGAATCTCAATGGCTCCCGTGGATATGATTACTTCCTACACGCTGATACTCACAAAAGCATCCCAAACCCTCCCCTTTTGTCAGCACCAGACCGTGAGGTCCCAGTGCCAAGTGGCCACTTCCACTGAGATACTCTGTTCTCAGCATGTCAGAAAACAACCATTTCTCTATCCCACTCACCTCCTCCCTTTAGCTTGGGAGCTCTTCCTCAGCCAGTAACTCTTCATCCTCCAGGTACCCAATGTGGAGACCTGGGAGACACCTGGTCTCCTCACCTTGTCTCACCACCCACCCAAGATCAGATTTTAAATGACCGTATTTCCTACACCATCCCGACTCCAGCTCATTTCTCACCTAACCTACCCTAAGAGTCTCCCAATTGGTCTTTCCACTTCAGCATCTCCCTCAAGAAATTCTCCCAGCTGGCTTCAACATGCTTAAATAATTTTTTTTTCTTAATTTCCTTTTAAGACCTGGTGCTTTCCCGCTGAAGCTCTCATCATTTAGCCCTGACTCTCCAGACATAGCAAACCTGTCATTCCTTGGTAGACATATTACGTCCTTTATCACCTTTGCACATAGCTGTTCTTCTTGTCTGCTAATTTTTCTCTGATGAAGCTCACGCATCAGCTCCTCTGAGAGACTTACCAGTGGCAGGATGAGCAGATTCCACATACTTTAAATGTGCCTATGGTCTCTTTATGGCCATAGGCACATTTGTGTCCCGTCACTTATGTGTGTCTCCCTTGCTAGAGTGTCAGCTTCTCAAGGGCAAGGGCTCTGTTTTAGGACTTTGTATCCCTAGCACCTAGCAGTATGCCTAGCCAGGTGTTTAACAAAAGTTAAAAGAAGGAAGATTTTATCTTTGTCATCCTGATCATGGGCTAATACCTTTGATGTAACTCTGGCTCTGGTCTAAATCCGTCCATCTTTTTTAATCCCCCCACCCTGAGACAGAATGCTATCCCTTCACACAGCTTGAAGGCCTAACTAAACTCCTTGGTGCTTAGATTTATTTAACTCTAAGCCTTATTTCTACCCAAAGCACAATCTTTATTTTGGAACACGCAATGAGCCACTGGCAAAGAGGGAAGAGCAGCAGGCCCTGCTGTTTATAAGATGGGGATTAGAATTCTGGCTCAGCCACTAACTGCAAAAGCGACCCTGGGCTGCTTGGCCCTTGTGGTCCTCAACTGTCTCATCTGTCTGCACAGGGGGGGTGAGGACACCTGTCCTGTAGGGATACTGGCAGTGCTCCATGAAACAGGAAGTACTCGATAAACAGCGGTCAAACGCAGATCAGTAAGTACCCTTCTCCCCAAACCACCTCACAACTCATTTGTGAACACACAGGTAAGTGGTAAAGTCGGGGACACTAGCAGGAGGGTCAAACAGATTAACTGGAGAATTCTTTTTCTCAAATACCTTTCTCTCCTTGTTTTAATCTCAGATGTGACTATGGATTTTGGCCTGTGACAAAGTACAACGAATGTCACCAGGGTCCAAGAACACTGATACTAAGACAAGATAATCTATACTATCTTGATCAAGTACTGGACACGTTCTTACAGCCATTTGTTACCGGGACCCAGGCTGGCTCGAACTTGGTTTCTCTTTTGTTAAAAGCTATTCATCTCTCTGTTCTCAAGGGCCTGCTGGGGAAGCTGCGGAACTGAGAGGCAGCCAGCAGCTAGTACCTCCCAGACCCCCAGCAGCCCCGTGCAAGTGCAGACGTTCCAGACAAGGGTTCCAGACCACTGCCAACGGCGTACCTTTCAACTCCCGGGCTTTGGTGTCCAACATTTTCTTCTCTTCCTCATTCTCACTAGGAATTCCTTCATCTTCATCTCTGTTCCTAATACAACCGAAAAAAACCAGGACAAAACAAAAAATTCCTAAGATGTCAATTACGCTGGTCACAGTCCAGTCCATTATGAAATCACAGAGACAGGAGGAGGGCTGGGGAGGGCGGGCCCTGGTGTCTAACTCACAGGGTGTTGATTGTATCCTGAATGATCTGAATCCAGCTGTTCCGTTCCTCTTTGGAGCTGGCATGGACTTCTACCATCTCTGGATCTTTCATCCCCATACTGATCAGGAATAAACCCTTCTCCTCGTGTGCTACTTCTCTTACGATCAGTTTCTTTAAAGAGATCACTGTTGATTTCTGGTCCTGGAGAAAGGACAGAGGGCAAATGTAAGATACAAACTATTCTCTGAAGGACAACTTTGATTTAAGGTAAGACTAGATGCTGTTTTAAAAGCATATGGTTTAAAAAACAATGGTGGCTGTAGGATAGAGAAAAAGATCTGCTATCTCCCTTCAAATTCTAACAAACAGAAAAAGACTTCCGTAAGGGGGATGATAGCTTATGGCTGCATGTGTTCCAGCCGTGTTTTCCACATGGTGCATCTTCCAGGCTCCCCAGAGAACGTGGTCAGCGATATCATACGTGAGCACCATGTACGGGGCCAAACATGTGAGAAACACTCCAGTGACAGATTTCTTTTCAGATCAAATCGTCAAATGTCCAAGACACTCAAAAGGATGGTGATGGAAAAGAAAAATAATTTTGAGGGTAGAAAGGACGACAGAAAATTCCGAGGGTACGTGGAAAACTACTCGGAGGAATTTGTCCTGAGCCATTTAATCTCAAGAGGGTGGGACAGCAGTAATAGCGCGTTTACATTCCGTATCTGACCTAGCTGTTTTGAGTGCTACCAAGAGAATAACAATTGTGCTTACCAATGATGCAAAGATGTATTTCTGGTCTTTTTCTTGAAGGAAAACTAAAATGTCAGTTAGCAGAACTGCTTGAACCTCTGGAAAGTAGAAATGGGAGAACGGAAGAGAGAACAATGACTACTTAATAGTTAACCACAGTCAGAAGCGTTTTATTAAAGGATGATTCAGCAACACCCACCTCCCCCCAACAAAGGGTAAACTGTGATCTAAGATCACACTCCTCCAAGGCAACAGTTTTATAGTTCCACAGGATTCACATCTGGTCACTACACTTTTAGAGACTTTTTAAAATGGGACTTATCACCAAAACCTGGTCTTGGAAAAGTTCAGATACTCAATCTTGTAAAGATATATCCTGTAGGCAAGATTTTAAGAATGCTTTTTTTTTTAAAGATAGGGTCTCCCTCTGTCACCCAGGCTAGAGTGCGACGATCATGGCTCACTGTAGCCTCAAACTCTTGGGGGCTCAAACAATCCTCCTGCCTCAGCTGGGACTGGGACTACAGGTGCATGCCAGCAAGTAGCTGGGACTACAAGGAGCACACCACCACACCTGGCTAATTTTCAAATTTTTTTTTTTTTTTTTTATAGAGATGGGGTCTCTCTATGTTGCCCAGGCTGGTCTGGGATCAAGCAATCCTACCGCCTCAGCCTCCCAAAGTGCAGGGATTACAGGTGTGAGGCACTGTGCCCTGCCAAGAATGAAATACTTTTAAGAATAAAGTTGAAAAAGCTGGACTTCGACAAATGTTAAATAGCAACCTATGGCAACACACTCCACAAATACTGAGGTTGTTCTGTTTCTCAACTTCTGATTACAGTAATGGGAAAGGCGTGGGACAGGAGACAGGAATGCTGCCCAACGGTGATGTATAGAAATATCTAAGTCTAATGAAAAGGAGACTTCTTCCCTGCTCCCAAAAGAACAAGAGTGGCCCACACAGACACCCTCCGGTCTTACAGGTATATGTGAACACAGGACTCTTCCCCCAGCTCCCATGGCTGACAGTCAACTTAACTACTCTGCACCATGGCAACCTTCTCTCCTTCTCCATTAAAACAAAAACCAAATTAATATCTCTAGTTGGAGCTAGGAATAATAATAATAAAAAATCCCACAAACTCTTGCTCTGACTAATCTTCTAGGAGAACAAAGTGACACTTTCCATTATTCTCCTGAAGACAGTTTGACGTCTCTGCAGTTGAGCCATCGTGGTGAGCTAACAGGATGGTCCCTATGTATCATCTTCATTCTGGAAAGGGGAGCCTACAATTCCCTGGTAAAAGGATGGAATTGATTTATGCAGCCTCCTCCTGGCTTTTCTTCTATCTCTGCCACAACTGGAATGCCCTGTCTGTAGAATTCACCGTAAAGCTATGAAGAAAAAGCAGAATCAAGGATGTCTAATTCATATGCCTAAAGTACTGTAATTTTCCATGCACTGCCATTAGTTTTGAAAAGTTACTTTTTAAAAGTTTACTTTTAAATAATTCAGGTGCCTGCCAAAAAGACCCCAAAACACCAATTTTAATTTCACTGGATCTTGACGTTTATATGATCAGTGTCAGTAGACGGAGAAAAACAATCCCACCCCTTTCAAAGGGTACCCACCACAGTACTGGCTGTTCTTGGCATGAGTTCACCTGGGGTGAAAATAACTAACCACCAACTCCTATCTCCACTGGAGGCATTTCAGGCCAGAAAATCTATCGTTCTGCCATTGGCTCGACCACAACTTTATTCCAACAGCTGGAATCTATTAGTTTTTACTTTGAGAAGAAATAAAACTGCGGCGTAAAGGAAAGAATAAAGTGCTGGATCCAGGCAGCAGCAGCTCTAGGAAACTCAGGCCCTTGCAAGGAAGGCCAGATCTTTCTAGACTGCCATCCTGCTTAAAAGACAGTCTTTGAAGTAGCTGTGTGGAAAGGGCCCTAAGCCAGAGCTCTCAGAAAATCACAGAACTCTAGGGCTGGAAGGAAGGAGCCTAGTTCAAGTACGACATAGCTGGTGGGTGGCAGAAGGGCTATTCCTTTCCTCTGGAATTAGCCTGCTCTGTTTTTCCGCGTCTCCCATACTGCAGGCCTGGACGAGCTTCTCCCAAGTCACTGCAACAGGGTTGACTTCTCTGCCCGTGGTCTCCTCACTCCTGCTGCGCTCTGACCCGCCCTAGTGGTCATGCTAAAAACCATCTCATCCATCCCTTTCCTGATTCACACCCTCCTTTCTGAACCCATTCTTGCCCCATCCCCTTCAACAGTATCAGCTGTCAACTCCTCATGCACCCCATTACAACCAGCCCCCCAGTTCCTTCAGTCCTACTTCCCATGTTCCCACCACTCACTCCCCGTGTGAGAGCCGTCCTCTGCCGTCCCCCCTTCCCTGGAAATGCCACGCCCGTTCGCTTCCGCACTTACTCTTCGTTACTGCCGGGAACATATTCTATCCACCTGGCACCTTCCTCTTCGTCCTTCAAGACTGACTCTACTGCTCTTCCTCATGCCTTCTCCTCTATTCCAGCACTCATGATGAGTAGAGCAAGCACCTCTTTCCAAGTTTCCTCACTTTGATCCCAACTTCTAAGAAGGGTGTTTTGCTTCACTGGTTGCTGAAACCAGTGGATTGCCTGGAACTTCTTTACTTTTTGTTCCAAGCACGGTGAGACTCTTGGGTATTCCTGACAGCAGTTACCTACATCACCACTTACAGCTCAGAGATGAAAGAAGCCCAATTTCCTCCAACTTCATCCTATGCCAGCAAGGCTGACAGCACTGGCCTAACCGCCGAGGCCAGGGACAAGGGGTGAGTATCCTCAACAATAACCGTGATGCCAGAGCTAACGTATCGGTCCACAAAGCATAGGTTTGATGAAAACATTTTTAAAAAAATCAAATGTACAGGTGAATTAAAAAGCAAACCTCATAATTTCCCTAACCTGATATAGCTGACCACTTGAAAAGTGAAAACTAAAACCAAATAGAAAATGAATATCTTTTATGATTTTGCTTTAGAGAAAAATAAAAGATGAGAGTATCAGAAAGTATAATCATAATCTAGATAAGGTGAGTTAAATTTACCTTTCATTAAGGTCTCAGAAGCTGCAAATTCCTCTAAAATCTCTTGTGAACAAGTGACATGTTTTGTTTTTGTTTTTGAGACAATTTAGCTCTGGCACCCTGGGTAGGAGTACAGTGGTGTCATCATAGCTTACAGCAACCTCCAACTCCTGGGCTCAAACGATCCTCCTGCCTCAGCCTCCCGAGTAGCTAGGACTACAGGTGCATGCCATCGTGCCTGGCTAATTTTTTTATTTTTAGTAGAGATGGGGTCTCACTTTGGTTCAGGCTGGTCTCAAACTCCTGAGCTCAAGAGATCCTTCTGCCTTGGCCTCCCAGAATTCCAGGATTACCGGCCAAGCAGTATGTTTTTAATCTCACGGATTCTGTGAAATTGGCTCACTCATTGTGTCTCTCTCCTTGCAATGGTTTTGCCATAGCGCTCAATCCCAAACTGGCTGCCCCTCTCTTACAGGGGATGCACCTTCCTTAACAGCTTGCACATCCGTACGACTATTATCCTTTGCTTTGTTTTCTAAAATCTTAACTTTCCATTTTCCTTGACTGCATCCCTTCCTTGTCATCTTACTACATTTCGTATCATTTTGTATACTATCTCAAACCAGTCCTTTTTGATATAAGATTAAGAACAATTAACTTAGTGCTGGTCCGCTTAAATGATGTTTGGATATGGGGCTCTCTAGGAAAAAAATCTGGTGGTGAATTTCCAAGAAAAGCACTTGGATTTTGCCTGTTCTTCTTGGGCACACACTTGGACTCAGACAAAAAGCGAGCCAAGCCTTACCTTTCAACCTCCCTGCTGCGCTCTTCAGAAACACACTCCCGTCTCGCACAAGCTTCTTCCGTTTCAAATCTTCCTTGGCAAACATCTGACCACTCTTCATCCTCATGATCGACTTGCTATCTGTCTTTGTATAAATCTCATTGAGACGTACTTTCTTTTCATAACTTGCCACTTTGCTGTCCACAGCTCCAATCACATCCTTTACCAGGCTCAAGGACTGTGAAAGATCTTCCTGCTCCACTTCATTGTCTTGGAAGGAAAGAATAATTCTGTTTTTAATGGCTCCTTTCAGACAAGGGTAGAAGGGGAGGGAATCCTGCCTTCTTGCTCCACATCACTTTCCCTCTGCGCTTGTGCTACCAGAGATCACATGCCTATCCCTACTGCTGTCGCAAGTTTACTTCTAAAGAAAGTCAGAAGTTTTCCATGATATAAAAAAACGCAGTTACATGCTATGTTCTAAAATAAAAAGAACCAAATATTTTTAGGGAGGGAGAGTAACAGAGAGAGGAATAAGTTTTTTTTATTTATGTCTTAGGTTTACCTAATTTTTAATGTACTGCTTTGTAATCTTTAACTGCCCAGGCAGGATTAGCCAAGAGAGAGAAACCAGTAAGGACTGATTAACGGAGAAACAGCAGCAATTCTAGCACTTCTGGCAAGAACTGGTGGGAGTTATCTGGTGGTGATAAGGGAGAAATAAGTTGTTTAGGTCGCCGAGCTCTTGATGGAATAGGCAGTCCCTTTCCTTCTTGCTATCGCTACACGTGACCTAACAGTCCATGTTTTCACGAAAGAAAATTCTTTTCAAGATAAAACAGATCTCTTTCAGACCTAGTAGAGCATGAAATAGCTCTTCTATGGGGTCTCTGGTACTACTGGACACACGGGACACAGTCCTTTGGCATAGAACACTGAATTATAAAGGAGACTCACCTTTGGTATACTGCGATATTCTTTGGAATAAAACTGGGTACTTGGTGATCCGCTGGGTTACCAGCAATATGCACTCTGGGATTCCAAGCCTCCTTACGACCGAACTGCTCATCTTCTTCTGCAAGGGCGTAAACAAATTGTTAGAACTACGTGAAGAAGGCGGCTCTAGCTAAAACTGACAGTGACATATTGCTCTTGACAGTGACAGGGATTTTCATGTTTTATTTACATCAATACCTTTACAAAGGCTTGAAAACGCTTATCCTTGGTATAAAGGTCTTTGAAGTAGTTTACAGACTGGTTGTGCTGCCCACAAAATTTGCCATATGTCTTCTTTAAGCGTTCTGCATTCTCACCTGAAAACTGCAGAGAAAACAGAAGAGAAGTTATACCATAACTCAGGGAGCTGAACTCTTAATGCCATTTTGTAAAAAGTTCCCAGTCTATTTATAAAAGCCTGGAGTGCATCCTCATATACCCTCCCAAAAGATTTAAATGGTGCAGCAGCTTTGGAAAACAGTCTGGCAGTTGCTCAAAGTTAAGTAAACATAGACTTACCATATGACCCAGCAATTCCACTCCTAGATGTATACCCAAGAGAAATTAAAACATACATCCACACAAAAACTTTACGCAAATGTTCGTAGCTGCACTACTCATAATAATAGCCCCAAAATGGAAATAACTAGAATGTCCACCAATGGATAAACAAGGCATATTCATACATGAGATATTACTTAGCCACAAAAAGGAATGAAGCACATGCTACAATTTCGATAAAGCTAGAAAGCATTATGCTAAGTAAAAACAAACAAAAAATCCACTCACAAAGGACCAAATATTGTTTTATTCCATTTATACAAAATGTCCAGAATGGGCAAATCCAGAGAGACAGAAAGGACACCAGTGGCTGTCTAGGACTGGGTAGTTTAGTGTGTGCGCAGGGGTATGGAGAGTGACTACTGATGGGCTTGGGGCTTCTTTTTGGGGTGATGAAAATGTTCTAAAATTGACTGGTGACGGTTACACAACTGAGAACATACTGAAAACTATTTCATTGTACACTTTGAATGGGTGGATTGTATAGCATATAAATTAAATCAATAAAGCTGTTAGATATATTTAAAAAAGCAAAAACTTCCAGAAATATCTATGTGCTATTGATGTAAGAAATGCAAAGTGTGTTCTAACTTCCATTTGTCATACACACGCTAATAAAACAAGGAGACTCACTAGAAGTTTTTCATGAGATATTTTGTCTTAAGAATTTGACCTTGATAAATGAGACAGACATCAGAAACGGCCATCATCACCCTAGGGATCTGTTTATCCTACCTACTTCTGTCAGAGCAGCAGGCCTAACAATTCTGCATGGCCCTCAAATCATTCCCAAATGTGTACAATCTCAACAGTTCATCTGAAGATATGCTCACTTTGGGGTAAATCAGTGAGTATCTGTATGTAGTCCACACGATACATGTTAAGCATTGAGTTCCACATACTAAAAATCTCTGGAGGCAACACAAATTGACCCTTTCCAAAAAACTTGAAAAACAGTTCAGGTAGCCTTTGCTGTCTCCATTTACCAAGGAGAAGCTGAGGCAGAGAGATTGTAAGTGATCTGCTCACACCATAAAGCAAACGTCCCACAAGGCTGACTTAGCACTGGCACATGGAACCAGCAAATGGATCCACAGGACTCAACTCCGAGTTCTATCATCAAAGATCTTACTAGAGGACATGCACAAATACGAGGAGGTACAAATGGTAATACAAGTCAAGGTCAGATGAGGCACCTGTGCAGGTCTGAAGCAGACAGGAGGGACAGAAAGAGAGAAATGGAAAATGTCTGAGAAGGATGTTTGGGGGAGGGTAGGTCCCTCTTTGGGCCCTGTTGCAGCTGTCTGTGTTCAAGCTTTCACCACACTGCATTTGCTTTTACATGACATGCCTGTCTTTACTCCTAGGAGTTCCCTGAGGCAGACGTCCAAGCCATATTTACCTTTGTAGTTCCACCTGGCATTTAGTAGATGCTCAGTAAATACTTGGAGAATGAATGAATGAATGTGCTAATGCATTAATGAAGTGAGGTGTATAGGCTCAAGAATATAAGGGAAGGACAAAATTCCCTAATCTCAAAGAAATGTTCCAGCAATTAAGCCTCTGCCTCTACATAAAAGCAGAAATTTGCTGGGGGAAAAAGATCTAATCAGATGTGCATGTCAGGCC